TGGATCTTAGAATCTACGATTCTATGATCCCAAATTGCCAAATCGATCCCAATCCCATCCAAAATTTATGGCAAGGAGAATCTCAGTTTGTAGAATGGGAAGTAGTATCCTACTCGCAATAGGATCGCACGATCCTACCGATTCTACTAAATCGGGTTATTTTGTTCTTCATCCGGATTTATTTGAGCCTACAATTAATCTTGGACTAATAAATTTAATCATTTTAATATAAAGTCCGATTCTTTAGCCGAATTACATTAAAAGAATTAAAAATTAAAAACAAAAACCAAAGAACCGAACATCAAATGTAGAGAGCATCAAACTCAGAATTTCAAAGGTATGGTTTAAAACTTCAAAAATTTCCTCTATTTTGTTTTTTTTTCTTAATTTCTCTTCTCTTCTCTTCTTTCTTTTTCAATACAAGGAATAGAAAAAATTCATTATTTCCACACATTCTCTGTCCATTCTGAAACAAAAACAATGGGAGACTTCAATTTTTTCTGTTCTTTCTATCTCTGTTTTGTTCCTTTTTCTTTAACCAAAAACTAACTTTTCAACTAAATTGCTCAAACAATAAGGCAACTAAATTGTACTTTTCTCTCTCTACTTCTTTGTTCCCTTTTCTATTCGTTTTGGCTTTACTTTAATTTCTTCTCTGAGATTTTACTTGATTGTTAATTAAATAGCTAATTAGTAACTGATATTCACACATATTGTTAAACCATACTAACCAATTCCATATCCTCTTATAAATATGTAAATCTCTAAATTTATTTATTTTTACTTGCCACACATCTCTCTCAAATAAAAGTATAGTATATATATATATATATATAAAATAAGGCTATCTTTGAATTACATGCAAATTAAAAATAATTGTAATCCGAAAACAAAAGAGAAATTACATAGAACGATTTTTTTTTTCTCTCCAAATATCATAGAAGAAAAAACAACTTGATCAAAGTGAGAGGAGCTTGGAGTAAGGAATGATTAATTGAGTTTTGAAAAAGGAACATGATCAGGAGTGAGAGGAGTTTGGAGTAAGGAATGATTAACTTTTTTTTTTTTTTGATAAGTAAGAATTTATAAGAAGGCGTTCAATAGGGGAACGCATCCCTTAAAATCAAAAGAAGGCCAAATAGAGCCTCTAATCCTTCATCCGATCCAAAAACTCTTCAAGCTCATTCAAGGATTTACAATTTCTTCCTAAACCCAACAAAAAAGGGTGCTAAGAATAGAGAATTTCAGCGACCCAATATGATTTTCCTTTCCATCAAATGATCTCCTATTTCTTTCAAGTCATAGACACTACCAGACGCACAAAGGAGTGACTCTCCAAGAGTCACGAGCTTGCTTGGGCCCCATTATACAGCCGCTCCAAGCCTCAATTAAGCCTCTGGTAGACCGAGGCATAACCCAACAAATCCCAAACAAATCCCAAAACATAAGCCAACAATCTCGAGCCACTGGGCAATTTAAAAGAAGATGATCAATCGTTTCCAACACCAATTCACTACGATTTGTCTAATTCTTTGTAGGTTGTCCTGGGTAAAGATCTTTCCCAAAACGGATGTCCATGTAAAAAAAGTTACTTTGAGAGGCACTTTTGTTCGCCAAATGGCCCTCCATGGAAATAATAATCCAGGAGCATCCACCAAACAACGATAAAATGACCGAACCTCAAAGCGCCCATGTGAATATGGAATCCAAATGCAGATGTCAGAAGTCTCCTCCACTATCTCCTGACGATACAACAAATCCAAAAAATCTATAGCAACTTCCATCTCCCAATCCCAAAACAACCTCAAGAACCGAACATCCCACACCGTAACTGCACTATCAAGACGATAGCAGTTATCCACCATGGCATGTCGATCAGAAGCAATCCTAACTAGTCTAGGGAAGGTGCTAGCAAGGGAACGAACCCCACACCAAATTTCATCCAAAAATGTTTCCTCCTCCCATTTCTAACACGAAATCTTATATGCTTTGGAGAATTCGTCCCACCCTTTCCGAATGTGTTTCCACACCCCAACCCCATACGGCAATCTCACCTCAGGGGTGTACCATACGGCAATCTACAGTAAGGAATGATTAATTGAGTTGTGAAAAAGGAACATGATCAAGAGTGAGAGGAGTTTGGAAAAAGGATCGATTAATTGAGTTGTGAACTTTGAGGATAAGGAGTTTATATTTAACACAGTAGACCATCACTTATTAACTTAAATTGCAACTCTATGAAAAAATATGAGTTATATAGTATTATACTATATACCCCTTGTATATCCCGAGGGATTTTGATAGGACAAAAATTACGCAGTATCTTATTAGGATTTTAAAATATATTTGCCGTTTTATTCATGGTAATACGGTGAGTTTGTGTCAACAACTTTAATGGAATCATGTTATTTGTGTAATTTTTGTAATAAGAGTTTGTGTTAGACATGTTATTGGAATAATTTTTTTAAGGTGAAATAACGGAACCTTGCACGTTAATGGAATGAGTGCAATAATTTTGCACAATGCTTTGCAGAAAAACGAACTCCACAATGTGTATCTTTGATGCAACAACATAAAATTATTGTCAATAACATGAAGTAAACATCTTGGGTGAGAAATAAATAAAATATATAGAGCATACAAAAAGATTGATTATATTAAACTTACCCATAGTAGTTGAGCAAGAATCCAAGTAGCTTGGGCTTTTTGTGCAAGAATATGTATAGTTGCAAACCCCGAACTGCTGCCCAATGCATGCTATCGGCCATGCTTCAATAATAACAAAAACAGTATACTGGAGTAATTTGTTAATTATCATATTACAAGCAGGCAAAAATTTGTTTTCACCAAAAAAAAAAAAAAAATGTTTAATTGTAACTGAAGTATTTATGTTGCGACTAATAAATAATTACAATAATAGTCTTTGTAACAACAAAAATAAAATGTAAAAACAACTACCATGATACAATATAGTCATGGCTCCATCACACATATAGCTTTTTAAACAATTCTTTAACGTCACTAATTAAAACACCCAAAACTATTTCCATTATGAAACCACGGTAACAGTAAAGTTGTGAGAGCGGACATAAGTTGCATTATAAAATAATACCTAAAATAATACCACGAATATCATATTAAGTTATTCTTTCAAACGATGTTCAAAAACAACCTCCAACACCGAAAACACCAATAAATAAATAAATAATAATAATAATAATAATAAAAATTGCACCAACCTTAACCATGAGGGCTAAGAAGCAAGAATGAATTATAGTTTTGAGAGATTAGTAGTTGATATAATGTAGGAGTATGGTTGATATATAATTTTAAGATTTTGATATAGCTAGGAGTGTAGTTATTTTATTTTATTTTATTTATATATATATATATATATATAGGAGTGTAGTTTATGTAAAATAAATAAATAGAAACTGTTAAAAAACGGTAATGAGGGCGAGGTAAAGTAAGAAAAGGTAATATATGATAGGAACTCTTTTAAAAAAATAAATAAAAATATGATAGAAACTCAAAATATGATAGAAGCTCTTTGTACTTTTAATAATAGTATAGATATAGATAGTTAGTGTATAGTTAGATTTTCCTCTGAAAAGATGAATAAACTCAGAACCAATCTCTCTCTATAGTTAGATTTTCCTCTGAAAAGATGAATAAACTCAGAACCAATCTCTCTCTCTCTCTCTCTCTCTCTCTCTCTCGATTGGCATATAGGATGCGAAACTTCTCTTGTCAAAACAATTTCTGTAAAATTCTCAATTTGCCATCCTTTTTTCTTTTTCTTTTTCTTCTTCCTTTTCCGGACTATGTTCATTTGAGTCGCAATGACTTGACTGCTATTTCTATCCACCCTCAAAGGTTTAGGCGTTCAAGTTACGGTTGGGACATAAAAAAATACTTACTTCTAAAGAAAAGGGTAATCTTTGTCTGAAGTTGCTTTAATCTGTACCTGAATTTAATTGATTGCATGAGAACAAGTAGCAGTCCAATGGCCAGGCTTTGGCATACCAGATGGAAAGACCTTTTAAGATCTTCATAAAAGCACCTGATTATAACTTATCAAACAGAAAAAAAGCTAATATAATTGAACCTGATTACAATGACAACCCATTATAAAGACCAGTAACATATGAAGCACAAGTTTATTAATCATGACATTTACTAAGTGACAAATTTCTCATGCTCCTTTCATAAGGTTCATTTTTACATAAACCCAATACATTACGAGTCTCTGTGTGAATTTTGAAGGTCCATTACTTAATGGGAAAAGGACGATTGTTTTACCCACAACAAAGCTTTTGTAAGTGCGGCTGCAAATATATCTGTATTCAGTTCTAGAATTCCACTTTTGAATAACAAATTATATGGTTTCGTCTACAATCGCACATTGCATATTTATTTTTATAGGCTCCAAGTCATTTGCAAATCTGATTAGGTAAGTATTTGTGCTTTGGTTTTAATCACATCTAGAGGCAATAATTGTCTATAAATTTGCCTAAAGGTGTCGTTTTTCATTTTTTCTGGGTGGGGATTCCTAAATGTTAATTATTCAAACTTTCCATAGCTCTAATCAGATGAGGTGTGAGATTTACCCTTGCATATTTACTGGAGATTTAATTATTGCTTAATAGTTTAATTGCTGATTTACTGGGTATCAAAATCTTCATTTTATCTCCCCATGACTGCTTTGGATAGCGACTCGCATCCATCTTTGTCACAATGAGATCTACCTCCTTTTCACAATTTTTTAAAGTTTTTCTTCCATGTTACTCTCAAATCTCTTTCTTGCATGTCATTTTAACATGCAAAATTTTTGTTTTGCTCTGGGATTGATACTCTCTGCTTGGTGTTATCTGTTAGAAACTATTTGAGCATGCTTCTCTTGCTACCTTTTATTTTATTTATTTATTTTTCAGTTCAGATCTAACTCGAGTCAAATTTCTATTTGTGAGAAAATTATTTATTTTTCTTAAATCATGCAGATCTTAAAAGCAAGATTAATGAAGCCCGATTTGATCGTCGTAAAGAGCTGACTCTCTTACGTGGTTTTTTCTATTGGTTGCAGGTGAGTATCTTGTTTGTGCGTGCACTTCTTGGTTTCTTAACTTTTGGTTTGACACATGGTATAGTCACATAATACATTATCATTCAAACCATTGACAAGAACACTTATTGAAGTGAGGTAGTTGGTTGTGCAACAGCTTGTAAACAAAGTTTAAACATTATTTATAATTTAAATACAAAGTAATAATTATGGTTTAATAAATATCAATTTCTATAACGTGCAAGAAAAATTAAATAATTTATAGTGTAAAGTGCAAAAAAAAAAAAAAAAAAAAAAAAAAAAAAAAAAAAAAAAAAAAAAAAAAAAAAGAACCACCTAAACTATTGTCCTTTTGTAAATAGCCTCCCTGAACTAATGATTTGTGGCAATTAAGGACAAACCCATCACAAAAGTCTATTTTACCCTTTCTCTTTAAATTTGTCATTTCTTATTAAATTATTTTTATCATCTTTTTCTCTTATCTAAAAATCAGGTTGATCAATAGGATTTTATCACATTCCAGGTAAAGTGCTGCCCGCTGCGGTCTCGATAGTAGTTTCATGCCCATTTCTTGTCAATGAGTTTGACTATAGGTTCAAGTAGCTCTAACTCTTTTTATCTTCTTTCTGCCCTATGCCCCATTGATTTGTGTATTGAACTTAAATATTATTTACATTAATTTTATTATTTGTATCAATGTATCATAAAAATAAAGCAAAAACTTCAATAGAGTTGTAACTACCATTTTCTAAAATGATTAACTTATTAATTAAAAGTTTACTTTTATAATAAGAACAATACTTGCCTACTCATCGGTGAGTAGGTGATCTCTACTAATCGCTGATATGGTCCAATCACAAATGCACAAATAATCTATTATTTTGAAATTAGAAAATTAATAAATAAGGAAAACATTTTTTTTGGGGAATAAATTCAATAACCCTCTGTGTTTTCCTTATTTATTACTTTCCCAATTTTGTAATTACAGACGATATGTGAATTTATGATTGGACCGCATCAGCGGTCAGTAGAGATCACCTACTTACCGGTGAGTAGGCAAGTATTGTCCATATAATAAAACTTATTATACTTGTTTAAACTTTTTACCGGTAAAAAAGTACCCTTTTTTCATACAATATGAGATGAAAATTTAATAATTTACTTAAATAAAAAGTACCTTCCTTTTCATGTAATATATTCATTAAAATATATTAAATTACTTGAATTGCTTTTAAAAAAAATTTATTAAGCTTTTTTAAACAATTAATTTCAAGAATTAAAGGTGAATTTATGCAAATTTAGTGGAGAATATGTCATCAAATTAGTATGAATTTTTTTCCATAATTTATTTTAATAAGAAAAATGGCATTATGGTCTTTCCATTAGAAAGGGCATTATGCAATCAATGCTCTTTCCAAAGGTTTTGTTTTGTTTTTAAATCAGTTCAGTTCTGGAGTACTTTTTTTTTTTCTTTGGTCATATTTGTTTACTGCTGAACGTGCACAATAGGTTTTTTTTTTTAACGAGGATGATAGTTCAAGGTGAATAACATTGTCAGACCTATCATAAAAATCAAGCTAATGATCAGATAAGCTCAAATGTCACAACTCTCGGGATATAGTGATGGTTCATATATTATATTGATGTTCTAAAAATGTTGACTGTGTGCTGTGCAATAACACTCTGATTGTTAGTTTCCGTCCCATTTCACCTAATTACATCATAGTTATGCTATTGTAGGAATAATTTTTCGTATATTAATAATTGTCTTTGGGAATGATGTCAGACAATACTTTGAAAACTCAAATTGCTGGTTATGGTTGTCTTTGTGGTTTACAAAGGCTGTCAACTTGTGAGGTAAGGATATAAAATGGTGGGAGAAATGTTTTAGGGTTTTTAGACTACAAATGCTTGGTTGGCTTTGTTTTATAAGTAATAGATTATTGGAATTTTTTATGATGAGGAGGTACAAAAAATTTAGACTGCATTGTTTTTTTCAGGTTTTGGATGTTGAATAAAATTCCTAAAGGGGACAGGGATGTGTAATTAGGTTTTGGGGATGAACAAATGGTAGGGTGTTGCATCAATTACAACTCACTTAAACCAGATTAGTGAATTGATGTAATTAGCATGTCTGGAAGTTGTAGGATGGGCAGTAATGGTATTTTGATTTTAAATTTGGACTCAATAAAAAAGCTTGGAGTGACAAGATTGAGGTGTCAGTATCAAGTCTGATAGCGTGAAATTTTACCAAAAGTTATATTCATCTCGTCTTCCCCTCCCAGCATCCCTTGTAGGCGGATTACACGGGATAATGCACTGAAATTTCTAGAATCATTGAAATATGTTAATGATTAGGAACTAGTTTTTGATATTATGTTCCCTTCTTTAATACTTATTGTTGTTAACTACTGAAAAATACCAGTAACATGTTATGATGCTCATGATATATTCAGAATGTGACCCGTGAAGGAGCATTCCGACCTTGGTTAGACAGCTCGTGTTTGGAGGTGATGCCAGGAAATCGCTAGATACTTCTGCCTCCACTTTGGTAAGTATTCTGCCTCAAATGCTGTTTGCAGTGTCTCAAGATTATGACAGAAGCAATTTGATGGTAGATAATTGATTATTTGACAATTTGATCAGGTGATTTTGTGAGTGTTTGACAAGGGTCTTTCTGCGCTCACTGCAAGCTTCTTGATCACTTATAAGGCACAAACCACTGAAGTTATGCATCAATGTGTGTCGAACTGGCATTTCGTTGACTTTTATTTTATTTCTCGTTCAAACTTCTTGTTTTACATCTTGAAGATGGTTATCGTTGTAATCAAATTCTGTGATTGTATGCGAAGTTAGTAAATTCATGCTGTATCTCAATTCCCAATAAGCAGCTTTGCCATTGACAATTTCCTAATGGTGTAAAAATCTAGGATATATATATATATGATAAGCAATATGAATAACCCATTTACATTACCGTTGATTCATAAAGAAGGGTTATGTAGAGGTTTTAGGCCCAAAAATTGTCGATTTTGTTTTAGTATTGCAACGGTCTGCAAATGGTAAGGGGGACATCTTCATATTTTTGGAATATTATAAGGCGGTACTGTGCAAAAATAATAGTTCAGGGGGATTTTCTATGAAATCGTGAAAGTTGATTTTAGTTTTTTTTTGGCATTTTACCTAGTTTTATAAATAATCCATCAATAACATTTCAGAATTATTGTTTTGAAGTTGGATGAACAAAAAATACTCACTAGCTTCCATTAGAAGTCGATAACAGTCGTCCTTTGGTGTACACTACGGTGCTGTTACAACAAAAGGATTCCAACTCTCTGTTACAACAGGATTCCAACTCGGAGTAACATTGTGATTATGCTTGGGAGGTAATAATCATGCATCATAACTAGGTTTATCGGAAAAACAATGCTCAATGCTACTTCAATCTGGCTTGCAGCACAAGGCTAGGGATAGCTCGAGTTCAAGCCGAGTCCCACGTTGGGGTAAGTGCAAGAAATACTTCTAAAATATACTTTTCATATCACTTTTATCCTTATTTAAAGAAGTGTGCAAAAAACACATCCCTATTCTTTTCAATTTGTGCGAAAACATCTCTCAATTCATATAATAGCTATTTTATCCTTTTACATTTCCAAAAATGCCCCTACACTCATTTTCTCTTTTCTTTCTCCAAATGAGCTGCCGACAGAGACCGATGAGAACAGAGGATGGTTCAGCGAGTTGGCAAGGCGGCCAAGGAAGGAACCAGTGAGAGGTGCAGCGAGCTTTTTGCTCGGCTATGAGTCCGGCAGAACTGCGCGGCGAGGATGAAGATGATGGCAGCAACGAGGATCTGAGGCGGCGGACAGCGACGACGAGGGTCGGGATTCCTGTGAGGTGCTGAACCGGCGAGAAAGAAATGTCCATGAGTTAAGACGATGGTCAGAGAGAGGTTCCACGATGGCGATGGGCTCACGGCGAGAACTGGAATTTCCGGGTTGATGTGGAAAATTGGATGATTCCTTTGAAGGAAACTTCTTTTTCTTCTCTGGAATTTATTTTTTAATCCCCAGTAGAGAATATGGATTGTTCTCAGTTCTTCAGTGCTTCAAAGCTACTCTTTAATTTCGATACCCTTTCTCCCTTTGTTTTGCTGTATAAATCTGCTTCTCCTACATTTCTCCTCCTATTTGCTTTTGCATTCAGGTGAATTTCTTGTGAATTGACCTTTCCGTTTAATCTCACTAATTCTGTTGAATTGCCATTTATATTTTCTATTTGAAAGTAATCTTGGTTTCTTGAATTTTTATGAAACTCCGTCTCAGTTTTTTTCTTGAAAAAATAATTTCTGTAATAGTAAAGTTAGTTGATTAGTTATATGTTAGAGTTGTTTAGCATAGAATAATACTATTTGGTCTTCATTCCAATATTCAAACACAAAGCAAGACTAAATGTTTAGAATTAATGACAGTGGCTAGGATTCATGTCCCCACTGTAATAGATGGAAGCCTGCCGGAGATGAAGCTTGCAGTTGGTCTGACAGCGGCACCAAGATGGATAAATAACTAATAATGAACTATGAGAGAAACGTAATATTGAAAAGGTTAAATAATCACGAAATATTGAAATAAAATATGAAAATATGCAAGTCAATAATAAATGAATAACAGAACATAAATAATTTTGAAGGACTTTGATTAAAACATGGAACTTACAACTTTAATCTTTGAATACAACACTTTTATTCTGAGCTGAACTCTTTGGATGAAGTAAAACTAAAAACTAAAAACTTAAAAATTACAATTTGAACTGAGAACTTCTGAAATGAAAAACTAAGAACTAAACTTAAAATGAGCCTGTCTTCAACGTCTTGAGGAGCTGTTATTTATGGGCCTCGAAGGAGCCTTGGGGAGCCTTGGATTCCTTGGGGATAAGGATGCAGCTAGAGGCCATGTGCAAAGGCTGAATTGAGGTGATGTCTTCTGAATGATGTTAGAGGCCATGTGCAAAGCCTGAAAGGCTGAATTGAGGTGATGGCCACTAACCTGCCTTGGATTTCTTTTTTGAAATGCTTATCTGTCATGAGCATCGAAGGCGCTAAAAGCCTAAAAATGGAGAACTGTTGAATAAAATTTTAAACTGTAGATTTTGCCTTTTTTTTTTTTTTTTTTTTTTTTTTTTTTTTTTTTTTTTTTTTTTTGTCACTATGCAGCGGCATTGAATGACCGAAATCAGAAACTTTTTTGAAATGAAATGATGATGTTTTAGAAATTTGGTTACTGGAGTTGTTGGGTAAAAATACCAAAACAATCATCTTCATTGGATTGGTCCAGATTTGTTTGGGAGCCATGGAATGAACCTGAGCCTTCACTTTTGTTGGAACCCATTTTTGAGAAGGTTATGTGATTGACTTAGGCTAAAGCTTTCATGAGGAAGGTTTCATACTCATCTTGAGATTTTGCTGAAGAAAGCTTTGCTTGGGTCTAGCTTTTGGATAGGAGGAAAGCCGAAGACTCTCCTAAGCCAGAACATAATATTGCAGAATGCTTTGAGAACCATTCTGAAATTGCTTCTAGAGTAACATCCTTGATAGAGAATTGGTCCCACCATTTGACTTTGAAAATCCTTCATAGAAGAGGAAGATTGGAAGGGGTTTTGAGGATTTGGAATTGCCATAGAACTATCCATGACAATGCGAAATTTGCAAAAAATAAGAATGATTTGAGAAATTCCGAAAGCTCAGGAGGAGCTTGGAATTTTTCCTTGAAAATTGAAAATCCGTTGGACACCGTTTTAGGGATAATTTCTTTGCAGGGACCAAACATATGCCATCGGTCAATGAACCATCTAGGGACATTCAGATTGAAATTCTTTTGGAAAAGGATAAGCCAGGAATGGCTATAATCCTGATTTTGGAAATAAAAGGTATTGCACCAGGCATCCTGATAGTCCCAGTAATTGAAAGTTTGAGGGTTGTGAGGCTGAGAAAATTGCCTCGGAGCATTGATGTTTTTACCCCGGGATGTCGGAGTAATGATTTTTTGAATGGTACATGTGGTGTGAGAAATGAAAGACTCATCACCCAGTTTTGAATGAGTTTGAATTTTGATGGAATCAGTGTCCACTAAAATAAACTCATAAAATTTTTTGTGTTTTTCGAAAATCTGATGTTGGATATTAAAAACCTTTGACAAAATGATTTTGAGAAAGTAAAATTGGGTTTTGGTTAAAAAATTCTTTTTCAACCACACAAATGGTTGATGAATTTGGTTTTTCAAAATAACGAGATTTTTTTAGAGTGGAATTGTTGACCACCACTTGCTGTGAAACAGTTCTTGAGGAAATTTGTTTGTCTGATGCTGAAGAAATTGCAGCGTAAGTTTTTTTAAGGGGAGGGGAAACTGGTTGTTGGGATTGTAAGTATGTTTAGATGGGGTCATACTAGATTGGGGACATGTCTATGACATGTTGGGAAATTTTGGTTAGTGTTGAAAACTAGTTTGTAATCAATGGGGATGGACTAGCACACATAGCTTCTTCATCTTCTTTGACTTTCTCATACCAGGTTAATTTGGAAGGGGTTTGGGAAGAAGATAATTATGCATATGCATCTTTTGTTTTGTGGGGTTTTGTGCTTGCAACTGAGGCTCCTCTACCTGTCTTGGGAGGCATGGTAACCACCCTTAAGCTCCTGCTTTTCCCTGCAAAAATTCCTTGGTGAGAAAATCAGGAAGAGAATTGTTTTCTCCTTTTATATATTCAATATCAAAGTCAAATACAGAAAGAATAGCTTGCCATCGGGCAAAATTTTGTTTTAAGGCTATGTTATGAATATCTTTCTTTAAAACAGTTTTTGCAAATTGGCAATCAACACGAACTAAAAATTTTTGATTTAGTAAATCACTTTGAAATTTTGAAATGCATAAAACTATAGATAAAATTTCCTTTTTGACTGTAGAGTAATTTTGTTGTGCTTGGTTCCATGTGCCAGAGGCGAACTGAACTAGTTGTTCCTTGTCACCTGTCTTTTGTTTTAGGATACCTCCATATCCTAATTCAGAGGCATCAGTTTCCACAATTTTGAAGGCTTCTGGATCAGCAATAGATAGGCAAGGGAGGTTTTTTGCTTTGCTTTTAAGGATTCTGACTGTTCTTGTATGCTCATCGGACCATGGGGGAGAGGACTTTTTTAATCTTTGGCATAATGGAGCACAAAGAAGAGAAATATCCTTGAAAAATTCAGAAAGGTAATTTAGGCACCCTAAAAATCTTTGAAGCTGGGTTTTGTCTTTAATTTCATCAGGGAACTTGTCAGCAAATTGGATGGATCTGTTGATTGGGATGACAGTTCCTTGGTGGATCTGAAAACCTAGGAACCTAATCTTGGTCTGAAACAAGCTTAACTTTGATAAAGAAAGGATTAATCCATGCTTGATGGTTTGAGCAAATATATTGAGATGTTTCCAATGAACATCTATAGAAGAAGAAAATATTAGTATATCATCAATATAAACAATTGAAAAATTCGTAAGATGAATAAAAATATCATTCATAATTTTTTGGAATTCTGAAGGGGCATTTTTCAATCCAAAAGGCATCACATTCCATTCGTAATGGCCAAAAGGAACCGTGAAAGCTGTTTTGTATCTATCTTTTTCAGCAATTTGGATGTGCCAGAATCCTGACTTGAGATCAAATTTTGAGAAAACGGTTGCATGAACGAGACGTTGGATTAGGTCCTTTTTATTGGGTAGGGGATATCTGATCCATTGAAGAACTTCGTTGAGGGGCTTGTAATTGATAACTAATCTGGGAACACCCCTTTTTATTTCAGCATTCTTTTGGACATAGAAAGTAGCACAGCTCCATGGGGAACGGCTTTTTCGGATGAGGGATTTGTTCAATAATT